TCCTGTGAACACAAAGACAATTGTTTTACTGATTTAATAGAAGGGAAAAAACACACCAATGTTATGTTTGACAGTGATTTCAGAAGGGATAAAACGCTTTCAAATAACCAAAAACACTTCTAACATCGTTTCACAGAAAAAAGTTTAAAGTATTTTTGGATTACAAAAATCTTTATTAGTCATTTTGGACAATGGTATGTGCATTTTCAAGTTTTTTACGAAGCACTTGTATTTGCAATTAAACTTTAAAACAGTTATGAGTAGAAATGCTTTTTAAAAAAATTTGGGTAAATTACTAGCACCTCGTAGAACCAATATTAAGGTTATACTAGGACTAATTTGTTGTTAATTAGGAGCTTCATGAATTCTCAAAATTAACCTGTCAGGACGGGTTGAATACTGTTAAGTAGAATTGCCATTGCCAAGAGATACGACATCTGATCAACTTCTTGGATGACATCAGTGCTGGATGTGAATATGTATGCAAACTTTTCATGGAGTATGATAGTAATTACACATACGCATAAACCGATGATGACAGATTCTGCCATTGAAACCTTGGCTGCAAATTTAGTTGCCTTCCAGTTTCCAGCTCCCAACTCATTCGCCACTCTTACTCTGTGAATTTCATCATGACAAGATTTTCAGAAGGCTGCTAAAAAATTAATTAGAAAGAATTAACATGTAATACGCCTATAACATGCATAAGTACGTATTTTTTAGAAGAAGATAAATAGTGGAAAGAGGTCAAAAAAATATGGTACCCTGTTCCAACCAAGAAGGCCCAATGAATCATGAGCTCCCACCCACTTGTAGTCATGCTGCAAAATGTAATCCAAGCAATATCAGAAGGAAAAGTTAAAAACTTAAACCTAATTAGGTGTGGATTTTAAAAGATAAATTCAAGCAATATAAATAAATAAATAATATATATATACAGTCCCGAAGGTTAGGTCTTGTACCAAATTGTCAAGGCATCCACAGCAAGAGTTGCTTTCTCCGAGGATCCAGTCATTAGAATTAGGATTCTATAGCTCCAGAATTCCAAGCTGCAGAAATCAGAAGGTAGCATTATGGATATATATGTACATACTAAAAAAAAGATCAATGGACATTGGATATTGGTGTCCACAAAAGAAGTTTGTATTGACATTCGTATCCATAATATAACTAGAAATTAATATACATCTTATAGTTGTATCAACATTAATTTTCTCAAGTACCTACCCTCAATTTATTTAAATTTAAACTAAACTATCTTAAAGTTAGAGGGTTTAGTTGGAATCTTCAAAAAATTGGTTAATAAACCATCTTTTCTTAAAGAATAATATAGCTAAAAATCTACATAAATTTATACATAAAAATTATAAAAAATTCTTAAAAAATAAAAAATCAAGCAAAGGAAAGATTCAATACCAGCGCATGAACCCAGAAGCAGCAGAAAATTTGACAAATTCCCAAAGCCCAGAAAAGGCCTGCATGGAGAAACCAGCCCAACTCTGCGGACACCTACCAGACGAAACATACCAAAACAGGCCGATCCCCCAAACCCACCATGAAATATCCAGGGCCATGGCCGCACCCACAGCCCCAAATTCCAACTCATACACCAAAACCCAACTCGTTACTGCATGAAGCACCAAAACCGCCAAGGAAAACCACAATGTCACTAAGTTCTTGAGCTGGCTCTGCAAGAACCTCTGCAATGGGAACTGAAACGCATAGCTGAATTGCAAGGGTATAAGCCACAGAGCCACCACGCCGGACTGCTCTGCCACATCATCGGACTGTCCCATTAGTTTTAGAATCGGGGAGGCGAATATGTACACAGGCAATAGGAGAATGCAGCAGAAGAACAGCACAATCCATGACCTTTGCATGTACGTCCCCAACATGTGGTACCTTTTAGCCCCAAAGGCCTGCCCACATAGCGTCTCTAGGGCGCTTGCCATTCCTAACTAATTGATTGTCAAAACAAAACAAAAATGAAAAGAGTCATTAATATAGAAATGAAAACATATAAAATGACGCATTAATTATAGTTTGACATAGAAATGACTCATTAAACATATAAAATGAAAAGTATTTGTACATTGTGGTTTATTTCTTAGGAAGAATGTCTCCTTACAATTTTTCTTTTGAAATTTCAATTTGGCCAATATCATATTTTTGTAAGTTTGGTATACATTGTTGGTCCATGTCCATTCTCTGACAGCTTAAACTTTTGGGGATGGTGATTGTCTAACATGGTATCAGAGCTTTTCTTTGCAAGTGATCCTAAGTTCGACTCTTGTTCCCCACTTCTTTGTCAGTTTACAGGGTGTAAGGCGGCTATATCTATATGTTTGTCTCTCTTCTCTTATTTGTCACATATGGCCAAATTGAACACCAAAATTGCAATCGACTGAAAACCCTAGACCAATGTAATTAGCCTAGCAAAGATACATGCAAAATGTCAAGAGTGAAAATCAACCAAGTATATTTTAGAGTGAGTTGAGAGATTGAGGTATGCTAAACTAAATCTATAATT